TGCTCAAATCCCTCAGGCAGGGAAAAGCCAGCCCAGGGTTTTCTTAGGAACTGGACAGTTTTCTTGGAAAACATATGCCAAGTGATCCCAAAAAGAAACCACCCCACTCCTTGCTTGTCCCAGTGGTTTAGGGGTGTGAATGTCCTGCTGTTTTGCATGGAAATTAAATTTAAGAATTAAAATCAAGAACAGCCAGCAGTGTTAGTTTTAAGTGAAGTGATGTTTTCCAGAGGAAAAAAACAGGAACAGCTCCATGTTTTGCTGTGAAATGTGCACATTTTATAAATTATTATATAAAATCACTGTCTTAAATCATGGAATGGTGTGGGTTGGAATTGGCCTTAAAGACCATGGACAGGGACACCTCCCACTATCCCAGATTGCTCCAAGACCCATCCAACCTGGCCTTGGACACTTCCAGGGATTTCACATCAAGCAGAATGAGCCTTTAAATCTGCCCAGATCCCAACAGAACAAACAGGAAAGGGAGAATATTCCCATGGTTGGAATCTGTACCCAGAGGAAAGGAGCTTTGACCATTCTCGTGGGAAGCAAAGATGTTTTGGGCAGATCTTCCTCGCTTGCTTGAACCTGCCACAAACCTGATTTTCTCCAAGTGGCATCTCCATGGCACAGAATTTCAGGGAGATACAGGAGATAAGTGCAAACATCACAACAGGATGAGAGAGAAAGGCCTCAAGTTGTGCCAGGGGAGGTTTAGATGGGATATCAGGAAAAATTCTTTCACAGAAAGAGCTGTCAAGCATTGAAACAGCAAAGGGGTGGAGTGGCCATCCCTGGAGCTGTTCAGAAAATGTGTGGATGTGACACCTGGGGACATGGGTTTGTTGTCAGCATGGTGGGGCTGGGTTGATGGTTGGACTTGATGGTCTTGGAGATCTTTCCAACCTTAATTCCATGATTCCAGGGGTGATTTATGGTCCTGGAGTGTCAGAGGGTGCACACAGCTCAGACCCAGCCTGGGCTCTGGGGTCAGCCTGGGGTCAGCATTCAGAAATAAAAATTACATCTTTCCTGGAATTACAGAGGAAACAAGCTAATCCACAGAGAACAACTCTGCCTCTTTCTTCAATTAATGCTGAGCACCAAAACCTGCTTAGTGAAGTGAGGGCTGCTTTGTTCCTGCCCCCAAATCCTGCCCCAAGAGCTCTTTGGACACAGCAAAGCTCTGGGTTACCCTGTGTTCCCTGTGGCCAGCAGGTCACAAAACCAAAGGACAATTTCACAGGACAAATTCCTGCCTGTGGACAGCAAAAATTCCCACTGGGAATGTCACAGGGGAGCTCTGCAGCTTTTGAGAAGTTTATCAGAGGTGCTGTTTCTCTCTGGCACAGGGAAATTCCTTCTGGGTGGGTTGGGAGCAGAGCCTCCCTCGTCATCCATGCAGAACTGCAAGGAGAGCCACCAAAAAACCCTCCCAGGGTTCATTTTAAAGGGATTTCAAGGCTGGATCCATGCAGGGAGCAGGGGCAGGAGGAGCAGAGCCTGGCTGGCTGATGGGTATGTGCACACAGGAACTTTCCATCCCTGAACTTTCCATCCCCCTGGCTCATCCAAGAGCTAACCCATGACTTTTGTACATGACTTGTGCTGCCTCTTTGCCCTTGTGGCTCTTAGATGTGACTCTGGGCAGTTGTGCAAAGCTGGTGGAGATTTTCACAAGGTTTACCCAATATTTACACCAGGTTTGGCACCTTTCACCCCTCCCTACAGTCAGTGGTGGCACCAAGAGGAGCCTCCCTGGGGCTGTAGGACAAAGCCCTGCTTCCCCCTGTTGTGACAGCTTCGATTGGCACAGAATTCCACCAGGTCTGGGCACCCCAGGGTGGGTTTGGGCTGGGCAGAGGGCTCAGGAGCTTTTTTGGAGCTGCAGCTTTTCCTGCTGGGCAATGGGTTGTAAAGCTGGTGAGTGAATGTTGTGGGAGGACTGGGGAATGGGAACAGGGAGCTGGCTGGGAGCAAGGAAATCCATGATTAATGTTTGTTTAGGATCTCTGGGTCCTGCCTCAGCCTCAGCTAAAGGCAGTGACTTTTAATTAATTTGATTTTGTTTTTAACCTTGAAGTTGTGGCGTTGTCTTTGCTGACAGCAGCCCTTTGTCAGGGGGAGGAACACTCAGCTGCCCCTCAGCCAGAAAAATTGGGAATCCAATTTTCTGCCACCCTCTCCTCCCAGCTTGGCTTTGCTGACATCTGAAAAATGACTTTTCCTCTCTCTGAATGCATAATTGGTTATTTATCCACAAACCATGGAGTGTATACTCAGCGTACCTGACCTAGAAAAAAACCAGATTAGTCAAGACCTGTCCCAGCAGATGTGAGTGTCAGTCATCATGTGATCTCCATATAATTTATGAGGTCTTAAATTACAAAATAATGGATCTTTTCACTTGGCATTTTGGCACAGGATGATAGGATTACATTTTATGTGAGAATATCCACCACAGCTCTTGCCCCATAAAACTGCAAACAGAAATTTGTAAGCATTGGCACTGGTTTGGCTCCCAAAAAGACACCCATTATGCTGGGATTACAGGCAGGCCATGGATGTGGAGCCTGGAGCTTGTCCAGTCCCAGGCAGTTCTTTCCCTCCTCGCTGTTACCATTTCCCTCAGAAGCCCAGACAGTGGTTTCTAGCCTGGCTTCTTCTTTCTTCCCCTGGATTTTACCAGAGGAAGGTCTGTGGAGCACATCCAGAGCAGAAGATGTCTCAAGACTCTGGAACTGAGAGATTCTGCAGCCACCAGACATCAGAACAGCCCTGTCCCACAAAGCTCCCAAACCTCACAAACTCTGGAATCTCTTCTTGCTTTGCAAGTGTGAAGCAGCAGCTTTAAAATGAGATTTCCAAGCTGGCAGTTGGATGTTGCCCGCTGAGAACAAGCTGAGTGTAAACAGGATTCTCATCTCTGTAAATCTGAATTAATCAGGGGTTTGCCTCAGAGCAGAGCATTTTCTTATCTTCCAAATATTTCTCTTGCAAATAGGAAATGTGTTTTTAGGCACAGAGTGGGATTCTTGGGGCTGTCCAGGGCCAGGAGTTGGACTTCCATGATCCTTGTGGGTCACTTCCAGCTCGGGATATTCTGTGGTTCTAAATGCACCCTGAGTTTTTTAGTGAATCCTTCTCGCTCTCATTCCTTCTCTCTCCCACCCCTCGAAACGAAGCTTGTTAGTGAATTCTTCCTGCTCTTTTTCCTTCCCTCTCCCATCCCTAAAAATGCAGCTTGTGTCTCAATAAGTCCAGTTCCTGCTTTTGGGATGGGGTGCCCCATTTCTCACAGAGTTTGGGGTGTGTCAGAGCTGCTGATGGTTCCCCAACCCTCCTCTCTGCCATGGGATGAAGGATTTGTTCCACAGGGAGAACTCTGCCTGTAGGGAAGCCTGGCAAATCCCTCACTTTGCCTTTTGCTCTGAAGTTATGGGAACAACTTCTCTGAAATCCACACATTTCATGGCAAGTGTTGAGATGGGCCTGATCAGCCAAAGGAAATATGGATTTGGAAATTCCCTGTGAAGGGTTTGGGTCTTTCCCAGCAGGAAAAGGGACAAGGCACTGGGTTAAATGACAAATATTGCTCCTTCCCAAAGCCCAGCTCATACCTTGGGCTGCTGATAAATTCCCTGCCATTGCCTATCCCTTGTCCTGCCACTCTGACCTCCTTCCACCAACTTTTTTCAATGATTTCTCCCTGATTTCACTTTTTTCTGCTCCAAACTGCAGTTGTCTGAGGGTTTAATCTCCAGAAAAGCTTCCCAGGCCAGTCCTGTGTGCAAGTTTCCAGTAAATACTGCTGTAACTCAGAGATGAAATAAAATATTTTGGCTGCTCTCATGCTCTCTGTGTATAATGAGTTGATCATATGTTTTTTTCCAATAAGTGACATTTTAGGGCTGAAATAGAATCATTTTTGGGGTCTCTCAACCTTGGTTAGCCACTGACTTCTTTATTCAAAGTGAATGCAGTGCTAAATAAATATTCCCTTGGAAGCATTAACATTTTACAGCTGAATTCTTCTCACATTTAAACCTCTGTTGCTTTAAATGATCACCTTTGAGGTGCTGCTCTCGTATCTCATGAGGCTTCATCAGAGAGACTTAAAATAGAATTGAGTGGAAAACATCTGTTCCATTAATAATTTGTCTCTTTTTTTTTTGCAATATAACCCTAGAAGTAACTTTACCATGGTAATGTAGATAGCTGAGCTAACAAGCTGTAACTTTATATTTTTTCAAATTAAATTGTTCTCCTCATTTCTGTGTCTTACACTTAAGAATGAACCAGCCTGGGAAGGGCTGTAGAGCTTCAAACACAAGCCAAGAGCTGGAGAAAGGAACCAGGTGGTAAAATGCAACACACACAAATAATTAATTTTCCATATATTTCTGTAATCCATAAAAGGAAAGGTAATAAATTAATTGGAAAACAAGACAATATTGCTGTAACCAGCTAAGAAAAGAGTGTAGCAAACTGGTTTTTGAGTTACTTTGAGGCCCTAAAAACCCATTTAGCAATCACAGATCATCCATCCCTTAATTGGGAGCTCTGACACCACTTGTCCATATTTCAGTGGGATCAGCATTCCTGGGCCTTCAGCTGCCTCAGCTTCTGTATGGGAGCATTGCCCTTGGAAGAACTCTGGGGTTTCAGGCCTTTCTCCAGCTGACTTTACAGTCCAGCCCTTCCCAGAAATAGTTATATAATCCCCCGGGATATAAAAGCCCAGGTGCAACAGATCATTAATGAGCTCTTTAGTCCTCCCCAGATGTGGCATTAAAAATAATCAAATAAATTAAATGACAGCTTAATCTGATAAAAACGAAACTTCATGTTTCAAAACTGTAGTAATAATTATATTTTTTCTTATTATCTTTTCTGTCACCAAGCAACTCTTTTGCCTAATTGCTAAACAATTATTTACACTTCAAACCTCTCCATAAATTCCAGTCTCTAGGAAAACCAGGCTCTACACTCTGGCAGTGGAGTAAGGAAAAGCCACAAGCTTTTATTATGCCTTTGTAAGCAAACATACATATTGTGGGAAGTTACTGTGTTAACATATGAGGATGAGGATGCACCTCCAGAAGGCAGAAATATTGGCAGGATTCTCTAAGAAAATGAAATTTTCTATTTCCCAACTGGTCCCATGTCAACTGCTGAGGGGGGAAAATGCCAAATGTTGGTTAAAGAAGCTGTTCTGTTCCCTCCTGAGTTGATGCATGTGTTGTAGCCTATCCATAATCTCCAAAGGAAGATCCATGGGGATTTTCACACTTTGTGTTCACCTGTGGAATGTGCGAGGATCCGTGGTCCCCCAGCAGCTTTTCTTCACTAACCCCACGTGTGAGCCCCCCTTTTTCTGGAGCTGCTCTTTGCCACGTGGTGTTAAGCAGGAGTGAATGGGGGATCACTCCCTGTGTAAACACCTCCCTAGAAATGGGATTCAGACGTGGGATCCCCTCCGTTGGTGATGGCCTGGTCGCTGATCTCGTCCTGCGGCGCCGGCAGCGCCGTCTTTGTGAGCGGCATCTCTGTCTTGAAAAGAGAATCCATCTTGATCTGGGTTTTGATGTTGAAGGACTTCTGGAAGGACTCGGAGGTGAAGTAGTAGATGAAGGGGTCAAAGCAGCAGTTGAGGGTGGCGATGCACAACGTGATGGGGTACATGGTCCTGGCAAACCTCTCCAGGGAGCAGTTGGCGATGGCCTGGGAGCGCACGAGCGCGTACAGGAACAGGATGGAGTTGTAGGGGACAAAGCACACGACAAAAATGGCCACGTGCACGATGATCATCTTCAGCACTTTCTCCTTGTTCGTCCCAATCTGGGACAGGGTGGCCGGCTTCCGTAAAGTCCGGAGAACCAGCGAGGAGCACGTGAGGTTGAGCAGCAGAGGGATGATGAATCCCACCACCTCAATAAATATGGTGATCTTGGACAGGTAGGTTTTCCAGATCCGTTTGGAGAACCCTTCGAAACAGGTGGTGCTGGTGTTGGACACGTTGGTGGTGGAGAAGAGCGAGGCCGAAATTCCTCCGCTGAGGACCAGGATCCAAACGCCGGCGCAGACGATGGCGGAATTCCTGCGGGTGCGGATGGTGCGGGAGCGGAAGGGATACACGATGGCCAGGAAGCGATCCACGCTGATGCACGTGAGGAACAGCATGCTCCCGTAGATGTTGGTGAGGAACGCCGTGCCCGAGATCTTGCACAGGCTGTCCCCGAAGGGCCAGTGCCTGTTGAAGTTGTAAAAAATCTTAAAGGGCAAAGTGAAGACGAAAAGCAAGTCTGAAACCGCCAGGTTGGTCATGAAAATGGCCGTCTCGCTCCGCATCTTCATCCGGAAGAGGAAAACGAAGAGGGAGGCGCAGTTTGTGATCAGGCCAAGGATGAAGACCACGCTGTACACGGCCCCGTACAGGTTGTACTTGAAGGAATCATCTGTCAGGCAGGTATGGTTGTTGCTGTGGTTTCCCATGCCAAGTCTGGGATGGGCTTCCAAAGGCCTTCAAAGTCTACTTCAGTGACATCCATAAAATAAGGCAGGGAGCTCGTCCCTTCCCGAAGGAGCACATTCCAGGGAGGTGGCTGGACTCCTTCCTACCGCATCTCCCTCATGGATCCTTTCATCCTAAAGGAGAGAGAGAAAGAACTGCCATCAGTCTTGATCCAGTCCCCCAAAGTGGCTGTGCAAGAGAACTTCCCAAATCAATGGATGCGCAAACAAGAGCAGGAATTCGTTTTGAAGCAGATCTTTATTCCACTCTCACTGGGGAATAAATCTCATTTTCACATTGAGGGATCTCATTTTCACAGTTGAAGATGGAATTTACTGAATTTGGCCTTTCCTCTCCTTCCATCACTCCCTCACCCTCCTGTCTGAAGGAGAGTGATTGTTCTGAGTAACCTGGTCTATGGAAGGAGTCCCTGTCTGTGACAGGGGTTGGAACAAGAGGGGCTTTAAGGTTCCTTCCAACCCAAACCATTCTATGATAATTCCAACTTTCCCTTTGGAAAGGTTTTTCTTTAAAATCTGAGATGGAATTGGCCCAGTATGTTTGGAAAGAAATTTTAACAGAATGAAACATCTGAAATTTTCCCCTAAACCTGTAACAGGAGGAGAAAAGCTGAAAGTAGTGTTTGCTTGAAACTGTGTACAAAGACAAGTCCTATGGATTTGCAACCTTTTTGATGCAAAAGTATTTTTAAAAATCCCAAAATCTATTATAATGAAGAGCTGCTTTTCTTTTTTTTCTAATTGAAGATAGGAGCATCTTTACACACGTTTTCCAAAGTGGAAAGCTGTTGTACCTAAGAAATGTTTATCAAAAACACTTCCCAAAGCCATATTAGCTTTTTTCCCCCCTGCTTAAAAATGTCTGCAAATACTGTATTACTTCGAAAAGGAATTTTTTTTGCAAGTGTAAAACTTTCCCAAGAAAGATTCCTCTAAGCTGTACAAACAGCTGCTTTTCATTCCTACTCTTTGTTGAGGTTTGGAATGTGAAATTTGGGAAATCTCATGGACTACACTCTTGTAAGATTTTGTCCCAACTCAACAAGCTCTGGAGGCATGTGGAATTGAAGTGAGTGTGTTTTCACTTGGGCATAGGTGCTTCCTGAACTCCCTGGATCATCTCTCCTGGCTATTTTAAGTATTTTTAATGCCTGTGAGGACAATCCCTTGGAAAGTCTCCTTGTTGGAGCAAGGAAGGTTTGTGAGCTGGATCATGAGCTCAGCACTTCTTGGAAATGTGGAGCAAAGTTGGGTCATGAAGGGAAAGACCTTTTCCTCACAAACTCCAGCCAACCAAATATGAACTCCTTTGGAATCTCCTTGTAATCGAAGAAATTTGGGAGCTACAACTGGGAGTAATTTGGAGGCAAAACCCTTGTGAAGAGTGGGATCCCTTCCAGAGTGATCCCCTGACAGAGGAGTTTCAGCTCCAAACCTGTCACTGAGTTGTGTTAAAGGTTGCAATGGCAACATATCAACAAACAAAATGGAAAACAAAGCATGGATTGGAGACAGTTTGGGAGGCAGATTATCAAAATCAGATGTTTTCCATATGTTTTCCTCCTGGGAGTTCTCACATGCAAGCTGTCAGCATTACTGGTAAAATGGCAAGTGTTGGGAAAGCTGGGATAGCCACGGCTTTGCTGGGTGGAAGGAACAAGTTCCTCACCTGGCAGTGCCTGGAGAACCACAGGCTCCCAAAAACTGGACCCTGGGAGCAGGCAGCACCTCACCTTTGCACCTGGCAAAGCAGCAGGAAAGGAGGATGCCCAGATCTCCCTTCCCAAATGACTTCATCCTTTGGACACCCAAAAAGATGAATTGGAACTTGGAGGTCTCTCCTGTGGAGATGTTTTTCCTACTAAATTCATGGCTAAATGAGCTTTTTTTGGAAAGCAGCTAAAAAATTAATATCAAATATTTACATTTATGAGAAGGACCAGAGTAAAATCTCAAATGTGGGATTGAACTCATTTTCTTTGGATCTGTGGTGGAAGGAATAAAGGAAAGGTCTTGCCTGAAAGTTCAAATGCTTTAAACAAGAGCTAAGTTGGATTGGAAAGCTGACATGAGCTCCAACAGGAATAGCTGAGCCTTGGCTTAACCCTCAGCCTAAAGCATTAAATCCTTGGCTTGGAGCTCCCTCCCAGAGCAGGCACTCCCTGTTATCCCCACCAGGAGTTTGTGTTTATGCTGGAATGTCATTCCCTAGGTGTGTGACCCCCGGGTGTGCTGCACTCTGCTGGTCCAGCCTTCACTCTGGGTCCTGCTGGGGAGATCTGAGGGATTTGGTGTCCCTTGAAACCTCACACAGGCTGGGAGCCTGATGGAAACCCCACTTCCCAGCCTAGCCTGGATTTTGGCAGTTCCTCAAGACCCAGGTTTGGAACTCTCACCTTTGCTCCTGACCAGGGGCTCCTTGGCAGCAGCCTGACCCAGACACTCCTCACACAAGAAAAAAGATGCTCCATCACCTGACTCTTTTCTCCCTGCTCTGCTCCAGACAGCCCCAAGGTCAAATCCCGTTTTTTCCAGTGTCTAATCTCTGGGAATTGCCTGCCAGCAATTGTCTAGTTAACTTATGGGCTTTAAAATACAGCCTGGCTTGTTTACCTATGGAACCCTGAGGTGTTTAAACAAGCTGACAAGTGGCTTTGAAACGCAGCCATGTGCTTTAAATTCTGTAGGATGAGTCTACAGATTGAGTTTTCCCAGTGTAAAATTCCCTTTCCTTCCTTTCCACGTTGGATTAAAGCAGTGGGATGCTCTTCATGGACACCACAGTCACCACTGCTGTTGCCTTGCTGGGAAAAAGTAAAGCAATATATTTTTTAAAACTAAGTAAACACAGTAATTTTTTTTATATATATTTCAGGCAGGGCAAAGCTCTAAATCCTATATTTATACTGAGGGCCAGTCCAGGAGGGGAGGAGTGTAATGGAATAAACTCCCTGTTAATGTGATAAAATTCAGAATATTCTCTCTCCTAGCAGGGATGGTACCAACAAACCTCACAAAACCCTGTAATTCAGAGTGAGATTCAGCAGATCTCCAGGCTTTACTCTTTTACAGTAGAAATGTTCTATCCTCCATGGACTGAAAAGAGAGGAAAACTTGGTGTTACTTCCTATGGTGCCTGAGTATCCTGTTTACAATTCCTGTATTTCCTCCTCCCAGCACACCAAGACACCTCCAAACTGCCAGACTGCAGCTCCATCCAGAGAAACTGTTTGTTAGAACAGGAATTACTGCAGGGAAAAACACACATTTAAAACCAGCCCTTGCCATTCCATCATCCCATTCTTCTTGCTCCACACTGATCCCGTTCTCCACATGAGCAGCAAACTGAGGTCAGAAAAACCAGTGTGAAGTTTGAGGCTGGCATTTTTGGCATCATCACATTTTCTTTTAGTCATGTGAGATGTCAGAGGAGTGGAATTTTATCAGTCTGGATGTGAAGGACACCCTGTGTGTTCATTTAAACAACTGAGCTCTGGGTTTGGGAGGTCTGGCACAGCCTCCCAAAGCTGAAGGATCTTTGCTGGATTATCATGATGTGTACTCAGGTTATCTCTTCAATCTTGAGAAACAAAGGTTTATAGGTAGGGAAGCCAAAATCTGCAAGACAGTGGGGTCTGGGGAGGTTTTTTCTGGGTTTTGTCCCAGGTTATGGCACCACTCCTTGTGTTTTGACAGGGTCTCAGCCCCCAGCCTTGGAAATAAATAGGGATTTTCCTGGGGCACAGCAAGAGCTTTGTTTCTGCCTTTTCCTGACAAGAATTCCATTCACTCCAGGGTTTGCAGCTCCCTGCTCCTCACCCCATTGCTGCAACACCCCTGGGATGTGTAACTTACTCCCACCACGGAGCCCAGGGTTACAGCTTCACAACAAACTCAGCTCTGCAACTTCTTGGGGTTTATTTCCTTCCTGTGTTCCACTTTAACTAGGCAGAAGGCTCAAATAAGGGGTTTGTTATCTCAAATAAGGAGATGTTTGGGGGTTTGGCAGATTTTTGCAGAGATGATAATTCTGTGTAAGACAGGAGGACTTGGGTTCTTCCAGACTGGTGACTATAGACAAAATAAGATTAAACTACAATTGTTTGAATAGATAAAATCAGAAGTATTATATATTTTTTTAAAACCTTTTTTTCTATCTCAGCTCCTGCAACGGATTTTCCACTTCTACTTTCTTTCTTCAATAAAAGTTGGTTTTGGTCACAGAGAACTCTGAGAGTGTGAACTGGCAGCAGCTTTAAGGACAAACCCCCAGTTTGGGGCAATCTGGTGGCTGATTTTTCCCTGTTGAGGCTGCCAGGGCAGGAGCTGGTGCTGCACAGAGATGTTTTCCCAGTGCCAGCAGTGCGGGTTTATGGAAAGCTGGACCAGCTGCAGTAGGTGATGCTGGATCTGGCTTCTCCAGAGAACGGTGTAGGGATGGGAAATAGCTCGGGACACCAATTTTGGGGTTGGCTCAGCTCGCTGAGTGTCTGTGAGTGCTCCATCCTCCCCGGAGCTCCTCGCAGATTCCCAGTTAAGCTTGGCCTGTTTTCTCGCCGGTGCAAGGAAAGGCCGGGATTAGAGGGTGGGAAGCGGAGCAGCTGCCTGTAAACAAAGCTCCATTGACGATCCCAAGCGCTGGGAAGGAGAAACGCTTTAATCTCTTTCATTTCCTAATCCTAAATGATGTATTGGAGAACAGTAGGAAAGGAGCAGACAGAAGTGGGACTTTGAAGTCCACGGAGGTTTGTGGGGCTTCAAAGGGCCATTCTTGCCCGGTTTATCGGAGTGAATGCCCGGCCGGTATGCCGGGGAATGGGGACGTTTGCGGGTGATTAGCCTAAAAATCAGGGCAGGAAGGCTCTTATTCATGGCTTTGACACTTATTGTGCTCAGTGTCACCGGAGCTGACACTCCCCAGCCCTTGCTGCATCATCTCCTGTACCTGTGGGAAGCTGGGGTTGGCTCAGTCAGGTTTCAGCAGCTGCTTTCAAATCCTCTGGGAGAGAAAAACCCGAAACGTGGGGCGGCTGGAGGAGGCATGGCCTGTCACTCAGCCAGGAGTGAGCGCAGGGATGCTCCGGGATGCTCTGGGATGCTCTGGGATGCGCTGG